TAGAAAATAATGGTAGAACTAATTCTGTGAGATGATATGAAGAAAAGGGCCCAGAACAGAGCATGGGTGTGTCTTTAGGATTTAGAGAGAATGCAAAGGAAATTGAAGTAACTACTAGCAAAATAGAAATAGCGCTTATAGTTTAAAATAGTGGAAGGGGAATGGAACAAAAGGAAACTTGAGCACAATAGAAGGCAAAACTGAAGAGAAAAGAGGTATTTAGGTGTCTCGTAATAATAAAAATCGCAAGTCCTAACATACTAACAGTCAAATTGCACTCTGTTTACATGAGCTACACTTACAATTAAAATACACTGATAAGTTAAAAGTAAAGGGATAGGCCAGGCTGTGGTTCGTAGACATGGTCTTGCACAAACGTGCAGTAGGAATGCAAGACTGAGGTTTGGTTCTCAGGTTGATTTGTACATACATGCTCGGCATGCACGTGGCTGTGATCCTAGCTTACTGAAAGACTGGGGGAGAGGGGATTGTGGTGGGAGAACCCATGAAGCATGCAACTCTGTCTCCCTCCCTCCTTCTCTGTCTTCTTCTCTCTCAGGAAATTAGTGAATAAATTTAGGAGGACAGATGATGGTACAACAGTAAAACATGACATTCTTAGAGGCTCACCCATGCCAGGCACGTGTATGCCCATGGTTCAGTGCTGGATGGGGGTGAATCTCAGCATCAAGACCCTGTTGTGGGTACTGTCTCTATCTCTCTGTTTTCTTTTTCTCTGTCTCAAGAAAGAAATGAACAAGCTTTTTTTAAAAAAAATAGTTAAAATCCCAAATTTAAAAAAAAATAAATAAACACAAAGGCATATGGGCAGTAAAGATGCGCCTGGCAGATCTGTCGTTTCTCACCTGAACTACTGCATTAGTCTCCATTCTGCTCTGCCTGCTTCTTGCCCTGTCCATATTGCCCTCTGCCCCCACTTCTCTAGCTGTCTGCCACACAGTAGCCAAAGTGATCCTTCTAAGTCAGGGTACATTGACTAACCCTTCATTCAAAAACCAGCATACCTGGAATTCATTTCAGAATCTTTTTTTTTTTTTTTTTTGAGAGAGGTTTTTGCTATAGGGCGCGTGCGCTCACCAGACAGACAGAGAGAGACATAGAGACAGAAGGCGAGAAATCACCCCCCAGGGAGGATGGTCATGCTGCAATCCCTTTGCCTTCATTCTCCTCTCAGGATCTTGGGCATGCATGCACACGTGCCCGGCGTGAGTTTTAAGCCACCGGGTCCAAGACGCGAACCGCGGTCGACTACGTGGGAGTCCGGCGACATAACCATTACACTAACTGTTGGTTCCCTCATTTCAGAATCTTTACAAAGGCGCAAATGCCGACTGTGAGCTGGCCTTTCCAAGCTGCCTCTCTGATCTCTAACTATCATGTTTCCCTCTCAGTCACTAATCTACCCCCACAGGCTGCACCGCTGTACAACAAGTACTTTTCCATCTCGGGGGTTTGTGTTCACTATTGTTTCATTCAGATCTTGGTTCAAATGTTACCTCCTGAAAGAAACCTTTTCTGATCTACTTTATCTAGAGTGGTATACCTCCCTCGCTGATTGCTTCCTTTCTTCTTCCGTTTTTTTTTAAACATTTATTTACTATTTTTATGAACGTGAGAGACAAAGAGAAAGTAGGGGCAAGAGCTCTAAACAGGGTCTCCTGCCATGATCTATTCCCTCCCCACCCCATCACCCTGTTAGCCAGGATCATGGGCGCACATGCCAGCATGCGCAGGTTGACTAAGAAACCAGACCCAGTGTTCTGTAAGGGTCCAGCTTCTCTTGAGCAGTGTGTTAATTAACACTGTGCTGCCACCTCCTCTTTTTATTTACAGCATATCTGGCATAATAGACACATTTGTCAATTTATTGTCTCAATAGCATGTGGACTTTAGGTTTAGAACTTGGTCTTTCTTATACTGTGTTTCCTAGAATTGTGCCTTGCACATGGTAGTTTTTAGTTTATATTTGTTGACTAGGCATTTTGTATGATGTATAATACTACTACATTTTAAAGAGGAAGAAACTGGACACAGCAAGATTAAGTAACTGTCCAGAGTTTTAGTACTGGTAAGTGGTAGAACTAGGATGGAATGAAATAAATACTAACAAAAATAACATTGATGGGCAGTATTGATAATCAGAGGAAATAGATTTCAAGGCAAAATGGACCTAAAGTAACAAAGAGAAACACTTCGTTTGAATTATGGACCATTTCAACAAGAAGTTTTAGCAGTCATTTAGAACTTGAATATATCTATGGTGTAGTCTGTATGTATTAAGAGGAAAGAACAAATTGAGGGAACTCTGGAGCTGGCTCCATAGCATAGTGGTTAAGTGCTGTGCATAGGAACCTGGATCTCATGTGGCCAACTGGGGTTTGAATCTAAGCGCTAAGAGCTTGAAAGAACACCAGGCATGTCCGCTTGTGTGTCCAAAATCCTGGTGAGATGGAGAGAAGGAGGAAAAAGGGTTGTAGCGTCAGCACACCTACTGGGGGGTAGTACTTTCTCTCATGAGTACATGTGCCCTCTGGCAGTAAAAAAAGGAATTGATAGACTGTGAAGGAAAGAAGGAAAACCATGTTATGGTAGGATACCAGCCACCGGAGTGGAAAGCCAAAATGATTAAAAAAAATTATAAAAAATTGGAATTACTTAGTTAAACCAGCTTTAACTAGATAGCTATACATTCTTTATGTACACATAAATTATGAAAAAAAAAAATGGACCATGCTCTAGGCCAGAGAGAAACATAGTTATGCAGAATGTTTAACACCAACAAAATTCCTAGCAAATAAATGAGAAAGTTATAGCCCATGAGAAAAATGAGTAAATGATATGAACAGGCTGTTCTCCACATAGAAGCAAATGGCCCAAAAAGAAAAACACCAGACTTCACCAATAGCTAGGGAACTACAGATCTACAGACGAAAATAATAGCATGGTATCATTTTTTTATACCACAAAGTAGTTTAAAAATAAATAAATAATAAAGTAGATGATACTAAGTGTTAACAAGGTTATTGGTTGAGTGTTCTTAAATGGCACATGTGGATCCATGAACACCTGTAGCTCTGCAGGGCCACTTGACTCTGTTAAGATTATACCTGGCACTGTAAAACATTTCACTTCCTGGGTCCCTCCCTCTTCTGGAACTCTGGTTTAGTGCATCTGATAGGACCTGGGGTTCCTAGCTTTAAAATAATCTCTATGCATAAGAAGCTCCAACTGGCGGGGCTAGCAGTTGGCGTAATGGCTATGTCACTGGACTCACATGTAGTCAACCACAGCTGGAGTCCTGGACCTGGTGACTTAAACTCACACTGGGCACATGTGCGTGCCGAGAGGAGAATAGAGGAGAAAGGATTGCCACATGGCCATCCCCCTGGGGAGTGATTTCTCACTTTCTGTCTCTCTGTCTCTGTCTTTCTGGTAAGCGCATGCACCCTATAGCAAAACCTTCTCACACAAAAAAAAAAGAAGCTGCAACTGGGGTTTGGGAGTTTTTAACATGGAATTTGGGTAACAGTTTAGGAGGCTGTTTTACTCCTATGTGTTTCGAAGGGATGGTAGTTCTACTGAGTTAGCAGATTTAACAGGAAGATAGTAACGGAAAAGATCGGTGTGTATGTGTGCATATACATTTTATTCATTTATTTATTTTATATATAAGACTGATTCTGCCACCTTCTGCAGACACTTTTGGAGAGAGCCTTTGTACAGTCATCCCTACAGGGTAATGTTATATTTTGGTGCAATATATCTAAAATGTTAACTTGTCAGAAAAGAGAATAATTATCTGAAACTTTAATTTCATGGGCAGTGGTCAGTTTATGTAACTTGTTCAGACAATTTTGAAGAATATATTTGCTATAATAAGTGCAAAGAAGAAATGTAGAGACTTCAGACATGATTTTTCACCATTTTCAAAAAATAGGTTAGGGACCAGCAGTTAGCATAATGGCTATGTCACTGGACTCCCACGTAGTCGATCGCGATTCGAGTCCCGGACCCGGTGGCTTAAAACTCTCTCCGGGCGCATGTGCGGCGTGGCCATCCCCCCGGGGGGTGATTTCTCGCTTTCTGTCTCTCTGTCTCTCTCTGTCTGTCTGTCTTGCGAGCGCACACGCCCTATAGCAAAAACCTCTCCAAAAAAACAGGCTAGTGGTTTTCCTGTGACCTACTAGTGAATCACATCCAAGCATACCTGCAAGAAATGAAAGGTTTCTGTAATTTGACCTCTCACCAGCCTTATCTCTGGATTCTTCACAGTACATTCTATTCTTTGGTTACAAGGCTATTCCTTGGGACTGACCGATGGCATAGTAGTTACGTCACTAGACTCCCACATGACCAACCATGGTTTGAGTCCTGGACCCAGTGGCTTGAAACTTAGGCCAGGTGCGTGAGCGTGCGTGCCCAGAATCCTAAGAGGTGCGTGAGCGTGCGTGCCCAAAATCCTAAGAGGAGAATGAAGGAGATGGGATTGCTGTGTGGCCTTCCCCTCGAGGGGGTGATTTTTTGCCGAGCTCACATGCCCTATAGCAAAAGTCTCTTAAAAAACAGTAAATAAATAAAAAGAAAGTTGTTCCTTAGAAGCCCTCTGTGTTCCCTTTTCTCCCATCCAAATGACCTATATTCATAGCCCAGCTGAAGTAAAAACACTTTTATGGAGCCTTTTTCAATCAGAACTGTGATGGCTTCCTTTCTTTATTTTTTCAACTTCTTTATCACTTATGGAATGTTCATTTTGTTTTGGTGTTTTAATGATGTAATGCTCATTTGTGTTTGTCTAACATTGGAGTGCCTTATACTTAGCTGTAGTATAAGCTTTCTGAAGATTGCATTATTTTTGTAGAAATTGAATAACACATAGCAAATCCTAAGTAAACATTTGCCTGAATGAATAGATGAAAAGTGTTTTTTTGTAATAGAAATAAAGGCACATATTTTCTGACTTTCATTAATTTATTTTCCAGTTTAGAGTGTTTATATCTTGGAGGAAACTTCATCAAAGAAATCCCACCAGAATTAGCAAATCTACCTTCTCTGAATTACTTGGTATTATGTGACAACAAAATCCAAAGTGTGCCTCCTCAACTTTCACAGTGAGTTTATTTATACACAGATATCTGTACTCAGGAATTATTTTCTTGTAGTCATTCCAGTGTTTTATGTGTAGAAAAGACTTAGATATTCTCAATATGTGATACATAATGACAGTCATGAGGTTGGCTATGAACTGGGTTGTTTATTTTTAATTTTACTTTTAGACACTCTGGTTTATCCCTCAGCATATTTTTTTTCAGCCTGTTTTCTGTAATCAAGAATTAGAGCATGAATTTCTCTAGATTTTATGGGATTTTTTAGTGATTTTATGTTTGATACAAAGCACTTCTATACTAATGAGGGTTTATAATGTGAAGAATTTTTATTATTGCATCTGGAATCTTTTTTAAGTGTATGAATGATAAAGCATGCAGAACACTCTTAAGTATTTTAAGCTCTGTAATGTTATAGGGACAGAGTCCTTTATAGCATATACAAGTGTGCATTCTGATTTGATAATTTCAAAACCTTTTTATTTTACTTCCGTTGACCTTAATATTAATTGTTCATTTTTATGGAGAAATAAATTACACACACACACGCACACCTTTTTTGAAAGTTATATTGTTTTACTACTGTTGACTTTTGCACTACATTCGTTCTAGGTTGCATTCACTTCGTTCTCTCAGTCTTCATAATAACTTGCTGACATACCTGCCTCGCGAGATCCTCAACCTTATCCATTTGGAAGAGTTGAGTTTACGAGGAAATCCACTGGTTGTGCGTTTTGTTAGAGACTTAACATATGACCCCCCAACTCTCCTGGAATTAGCTGCACGGACCATTAAGATCAAAAATATTTCCTACACTCCTTATGATCTTCCTGAGAATCTTCTTAAATACTTGGGTTTAGCCAGCAACTGCCCAAACCCAAAGTGTGGAGGTAAGTTAATTCCACCTTTATGTTTCCCACTGATTTCCATTTTTTAAATTCGATGACCTGTGTCTAAGTCTCTTTCTGAGAAAGGCAGTTCATCTCTATTTCCCTCATCCTTTTACCCTTATTCCAAAAACTAAGACTCTTCTCCATCTGCATTTTTCTTTGCGTTCTTTTCAGAGTCTTTTAAGATGTGTACAAAAGAAAAGACCCAAGTCTTGTCTTATCTTGGAATGGTCATAGGTAATAAAGTAAGATGGTAAAATGAGAGAAAACAAAAAGGAAACATACATGATCCTAATTGTTTACAAAGTTTCTATAATGTTTGGACACTATGAATGGAAAAGACTTTTTCTGGTACTAGCAGATGGTGTAGTGGTTACGTCACTGTACTCCCACATAGTTGAATATGGTTTGAGTCCTGGACTCGGTGACGTAAAATTCACGATGTGTGTGTATATGCACACATTACGCACATGCCCAAAATCCTGAGAGGGAAGTAGAGAAGGGATTGTGGCGTGACCATCCTCCCCCACCCCCCTGGTGATTTCTTGCTTTCTGTGTCTGTCTTTCTCTGTCTCTCCAGCAAGCACATGTGCCCTATAGCAAAAATGTTTCTCTAGAAAAACAGAAAAGACTTTGAAACTTTTTTAGGGTTTTTTGTTTGTTTGTTTGTTTTGCCATAGGGCTTGTGCACATTTGGAAGAGAGAGAGAGACAGTGAGAAGGAAAGAGTAATCACTCCCCAGGAGGGTGGCCACACCACAATCCCTTCTCCTGTGATTTTGGGCGTGCATGTGTGTGACATGTGCCCAGAGTGATTTTCAAGCTGCCAGGTCTGGGACTCAAACTGTGGTAGCTATGTGGGATTTCAGTGTTTTAACCACCACATCACCCACTGACCCTGAAAAGACATTTTTCTTAGATTAACCATTCTGTATCAGATGCCTTTATATGATTAAAGATGTGTAAGAATAGGCTACATTTGTGCCAGTTTCAGTATATATACCCTAGAACTTGACGTTCTTTTAAATTCATGTTTCAGAATTTCTTGAGCCTAGAACATTTGGAAATGCTTAAATCATTAAACAAATGATATAATATAAGTTAAAATAGGGCAAATAGTCCAAATAATTTAAAATGTTACTGGAAATCAAAGGAGAAAGAGTATATATAACTATATATACTTACATAGTCCCAAAATATTTCTTGCACTCCTAATGATTTTTCCAGGGAATCTTCTTAGGAAGACCATAAGGAAAAAATAAGATTTGATTCTTTTTCTTTTCTTTTTTTTTTTTTTTAAAGAGATTTTTGCTATAGGATGTATGCACTTGCCGGAGAGACAGAGAGGCAGAGACAAAAAGTGAGAAATCACCGCCCTCACCACCACCCCCCCCACCACCACCCCCTACAGGGGATGGCCATGCCACAATCCCCTCTCTTCCATTCTCTTAGGATCTTAAGCAGGCACATGTGCACATGCTCCCAGCATGAGTGTGAAGCCACCAGGTCCAGCACTCAAACTGTAGTCAGCCATGTGGAAGTCCAGCAATGTAACCATTCCTCCACCTGCTGGTCCTAGGATTGATTCTTGAAGTATGAGTTAAATTAAGGATAGGATACTTTTCACCTGGAGAGAGTACAGTGGCGACAGGACAATATGGAGCAGAATGTTGGATGAGTGATCATTTGGCTCAGATGTTCAGTCAGGAGATTTAACGGTTTATTTATCTACTTTCCTAAATTGTTCAAAGTAATATGTTATAGATTTCTTGTTTTAAACTATGAGTTATACTTACTACAAGATCAGAAAAGTACAAGGTTTGTTAGAGATATCAGGAAAAAAATAAATAGAAATTATTGTTTCTTGTTTGCTTGGTCCGCTCTTCTTATTTTGGCCCTCCACGTGTAAACACATAGCTGGTCTCATAGGAGACTTTCAGTAGTCACATACTCATAGATTGTGCTTCCTTTCAAAGAGGTTATAGGACCGAAAATTCTAGGTGTTCCACTTACCCTATAGCCGTTGTGGCAATCTTTGCATGTTAGAGATATGTATAGTCTCTTTTTTTTATAAATTAATTAGAAACCAGAGGCATAGCAACCTCTGCTTTCTTCTCAGCTCTAACTATATTTTTACTTAGCTGAAGAGCCATAGTTCAAAAGCATTAAATTAGAAATCAGAAGACCCAAATACTAGCTTCAGTCTACCTGACGGCATGTAATTGTGGGAGAGTCAAGTGAGATCACCGGTGAAACGGCTTTGAAGCCTGTAGGCTTAGAGCCCAATGAAAATACACTGTGGCGTTCTGTGTCTTAGAGTGTTGCCTTCCCATCTGTAAGAACAGGGGTACCAAAACCCATCTCCTTTCTGCAAATCTTGTATAGCATAACTGATTCTTTAAGATCATTATTAAAGGAGTTTCATTGTGTTTTCATCTCCTAACAAGGGTGTAGTACAGGAACGGGTGGGAGGAATTGGAGAAAGGGCACTTCAGGTATCCCATATCTCTGTCAGCCACCATCCCCCAAGTCGCCCAGAGAAGGAAAAGCTAAGTAAACAATGTTCTTTCTGTGCCAAGTCCCTTTAAGATACATTTCCTGGCCTTCTCTTTGCAGCCAGATTGCCACCCCTAAGTCCTTCCAATATTTCTGTACACAGCTATAGAAGCAACTACTACTTCTGCGTAAGATTTCACAGAAGAGAAGACTATGTATGACATTTCTCCAGAACACTTGGAAAAGGGTTGAAAAGTTGGCTCTTTGTTTTGCCCTAATTGCTTGATATTTCCTCGCCTCCCTAGGAGTCTACTTTGACTGCTGTGTCAGACAGATCAAGTTCGTGGACTTCTGTGGAAAGTACCGCCTCCCACTGATGCACTACTTGTGTTCTCCAGAGTGCTCTTCGCCGTGCAGCTCCGCCCCTCACAGCTCCACATCCCAGAGCGAATCGGATTCGGAAGATGAAGCTGGTGTTGCGGCACACCGAATGCAAAAAGTGCTTCTTGGCTGAACAGAGAGCAGAGTTCTGAAATACTGAAAACTGAGCAAGGTGGTTAGGGAAGAAAACAGAGTTCACGGTTCACTAGAAATTGTTATCTTCATCTTGAGTGTCCATGAAAGTCAGGGATAATGTAAATGATTCAGGAATGAATCCAGTTCCATGTTTGGATTCTTTGAATATAATTTACCCTGAATGGCAGTTTTGCATTTGGCTGATGGTTTGCAATTTTCACTCAAGTTTTGCATGAATCACCCAACAGAACAGCACATTCTGAAGTGCAGGGCTGTGATAGGCACTGTGATGAGCAGTGTGACTCATGGCAGCTGAGGTAAAGAAAACAAGAAATCGTCAAAGCTGTAATTATTATCAGAGTTGTCCTCAGGTTTTGCTGAACACCGTACAGTAAGCAGCATCAGCCTTCCCCTCTTCGAGTGCCCATGTGTCTTCATTACAGCGCTATCACATATGCTCACAGGTGGTCACATAAGCCCTCAACCTTTCTGACCAACTAACTGGTGAAGGAAGGGATATAACTTGTAATTGGATGTTGAAACTCTTCAGTTCTACTGCTATATCCTATATGTGATTGTTACTCACCTTACGTGATCCAGCAATGACTGTTACCAGTGCCTTACTCCTACCGAGGGTATAGAAATTGATTCAAGAAATAATGCCATATAGCAACCTATAGCCTGACATACTATGCAGAACACTTTAAAATGTGTTCTAATACAACTAGATAAGCAGCTTAATATCTGATATGTGAGCTCATGGCCGCCAGAGCTTTGTTTTTGTTTGTTGGTTTGTTTTGTTGTTTAAACATGCAGTAATTCCTTGTAAGCAAATGCCTTTTACACCTAATGGAAGGTTACAGTCTTAATCAGTCTGTTCATTATACAATGGAATAATAGTTTTTGACAGAAAAATTTAGGAGAAATGTAAGCTAGGAAACTTCTTTATATCTTGCATTAAATGAAAGGGGAGAAAAAATTTAAAATTTTTAACAATTAGGTATGATTCCTTTGCCTGTGTCATGTACTGAACTGTAACTTTATATTTTAAAAGAAAAACTTATACAAGTAGAAAACAAGCCAAATAAAATCAGGAAGGCAAGAGTCATTGTGTTTATACACAATAGGACATTTTACAAAACTAGTCTAACCCTGGAATACTTTTTGAAAATAATGTATTGACAAAATAGAAAAAGGACATATGTTCAATCCTTTAAGTATAAGCAAAAAAGTTTTGCAAATTAATTGTCAATAGAAATTGCCAAAATTTTAAACTGTTTAATATGCAATAGAAATGGAATAATACAACTATGAGTGATATTGTAAAATACACAGTGCTTACCAGTAATCATTAGATAGCCAGTATAATATAATAACATGTTTGATGTTAAATGTACTGTAACGTACAGGTCAGATATGTGTAGAACAGTCTATCTCTCTTTTAGCTTCTGGCATTCATAGTTAGGCACCATTTCTTATTTTTAATGAGGCCGGGGAATAGACTATTGTGGGAAAGAAGTTGGATTATTTTTGACACTGTCGCTCCATGTCATGATCATTCCTGCCCCAGCATCCCAGTCAGCTAAGGCCACAGTCATGTGCCCCCTTGCCTGGCCTGTTTAGGTTAGGCTGGGAACTGAACCTGGGCCTCCCATGCCACCCCAGCCATCATGCAGCAGCACCTATCGTTTGCACTACAATAGCCAGGCCTTGTTACACCGTGTCTTAAAAGCAGGTTGTTTGTATAAAAATGATACATACATGTGTTAGTTTTTTTCATATATATTTTTTATTATAGAGAATATATTAACTATTCAGGGTTTATTTGTTTGTATGTTAATTCATGAAACATCATGAGAGTTTCATGAACTGCAGTAGGGAAACGCTGCTATAGAGTGACTCCCTCTACCTTTACCTTATTAAAATGTAATTAGATTCTTTGTCTTTTGATTCAGAAATGTTCTCTCTGTAGAAGTAATCTAATGTTTTTATTCCTTAGCAAAGTAATACTGGGTGATTATACCATAGAGTGTAAGTAATGAAGTCTTTGCTGCAGCCACAGCAAGCTGTATACTACAAAATTATGAAAGATAAAAATGTTTCAGGCAATGCCTAAGTGACAACCTACTTACTTTGTAAGTAAGTGACTTAGTTAAGAAACATAAAATATTTTCATAGAAAATGATGTATCTGATAGGACCAAATTTTTCTGGCTTAAATGCCTGTGCATACTTGCCAGTTGATTACTAGCTTAACCTAAGATACAGCTTGAATAAGAGACTTTGTGAAATAGATGGTTTTTTGTAAACATAGTACTTAATCTTACATATCTTTCTGACTCGTAGATAGAAGATACACTGCCTAATCAGATGTAAATTAAGTCCAGCCAAACAGTTTCTATCCTTTACCATACAAGTAGATGTATACCATAGTATTCTTTCAACAAAATGTTTGTTATGGTTCTTATATTTAGTAGAAAATTCTGCCATCAGTGTGGTTGACTTTGGTAACTTTTCATGAAATCTGTATTTTAGCTATTAGCTTCATAAATTTTTATGTTTGACTTTATCTTTTACAAAAGCTGCTAGTAATAATTTCTAAGATTTCCCCGTTTTCTCTACCTTTCCTTTTTTTTTTTTTAGGACCATTGATTATAGAAATTAGCCATTAGGTGAGATACAAGGGACTCGATTATCTAGAAATGAGTAGATCAGTTCCCAAGTCATAGCATTGACTATGTATTTAAATTGATGTCTCTCTCTTTAGTTGCTAAGTTAGGTGTTTATGCGTAACTACAGTTAATAATCTTTAGTTCGCTTTTTTTTTAAAAAAAGATTTACAGAATCGGCAGTCTTACTTTTCATAATGGGATAAGTTTTTGATATCGGTACACTTGTACAGTTTTTGTGATCAAAATTTCTGTAGATAAAACTAAGCAAAAACATTAATATGTTTAGAATGGAATTCTTCAGTCAGTGCTAATATCTGAAATTGAAATGAGCACATTGTACATTCTTAGTAGGCTTTATTCCTAGAATTCGGTTCTCTTAGCATCACCAGACTGCATTGGTGTGATAGTCCTAGGATTTTAGGAAATAGGAAGTGTAGCTAATACAGTATGTTGATTATATGGCCCAGGGATTAGCTGGGTAAGCATGAGCTAGTCTGGGTTCTCAGTATTCGCTATATTTGAGTAGTGGAGGTAAATCCAGAGGTAATTGTTTATGTTTTTGTTTGTGTGATTGTGAGACAGAAAGCATGGAAGGGAAAGAGCACCCTCCCACTTGGGTCACTGCAGCTGGGCTGGCTGTTCCTGTTTTACTTCTAAACACATACAGGTGTTCTGAAATTGTTGATATTTACAACCATAAGTTACCATATTTGAAAGTAAAGGCTTGCACTATAAACGGTACCTCAAATTTGAGAAGTGTTTGTGTTGATGTAAAGAAAAGGCAGTGCACAGTAGTGCGGTGTATTACTACAGACCAATTCTACCAAACGCTGTAGATACCTGGTTTAAACAAAAGAAGGCAAAGGCTGATTGCTGGAGTGTTAAATGAAAGAAATCTTTAAAAGCAACAGAAGGCAGGGAAAGCAGTCACCAGATAAGCCAGGATATCCCTGAGCCAAAAAAAGCCCTTAAAAGTAATAGCGAAACATTTTGAAATTAAGTTATTAAGTGGCCTTCTGACTACCATCAGGAAGCTAACATTTATTCAGTGTCTACTATTGGGAGTTTGTCTGCATTTCTTCATAATAAAGTTCTAGAAATAAATAGGATTTTTTTTTTTTCAGCCAACCTTGCCCTTCCCAGAGGAAGAAAGTAATACCTCATTAACCTGGAATTTGTGGTATAGCAGGCAGCCTTCTTGGTTAATGTTTTCCTTCCCACCGTGTAGAAAAGAAGAAATTAAGCAAATAGTACAAGCAAATTTGATCTTTTAAAGCATTATAGCAGTAGGTATTTATATAAAAAGTTGACTTTTTCTTGAATCTTCATAAGACCTACTGTAGATGAAACTTCGACGGTTACGGTCTATGTATATAAATAAATTAGGCTGCATTTATTTAGAAATACCTAAGTTTTACTTAAATCATTTCCTTTCTTATCCAGAAGTGGAGATTTTATTATATTGGTACAAATATTCTCATTTAGTTTAAACTAGCTTTTAAGTTGTGATTGTCATTTAACAACAGTAAAGGCTATTATTAATACATAGGTTTAGGCAACATGGCTTCTAATAGATAGCTAATAGCTAATGGCTTCTAATACAACATAGCTCTGTGTAGAAAAGAAGGTCTTGACCTTCACAGTCTGTCTTAAGCAGTTGTACCCTATATATTATTAATGAATTTCATAGAGTAGAGTCATGTATTTTATTACATTCATTATCTTTTTAGAGGTAGCAGTGTCTTCATTGTTTTTGGAAAGACTGTACCTTAAATCCTTCACTCCAGACCCAAAGACCGAGGAACTGTATCACATACTAAGCTATTGGTCACGGTATCATGACCTTTTGCATTTGACTTGAGGAGAAAAGACTGATCCTGAGAGATTCCTCCTAATCTACATTGGTCTAGGGCTTCTGGGGAGGGAAATTCAATCATGCATACTGTCAGGAGATCAAAGCCATAAGGATCAGGGACTTCTAAAATAAAGTCAGTGAAGAGGATATGTGTGTATACACACACATATATATGCACCTATACACATACATGTAATTTTTAAAAATCGTCTGGTGCCACCAAAGCATGATAGCTGTTCTAACCAACTTCATAGTTACAGTGCCATGGAAAGATACTGCTACCTTGGAGGCCAAGCATATTTTGCCACTTGTATTCTTTCTAGTAGAAAGTAAGGGGAGTATATCTTAATACTTTTGCATGTAAATATCTCTATTCTTTCTCTTTTTGATCCATATTTAACTAAGAGTTTATGTAAAAAATAATTCATTGGCAACCATTCATTATTGAATATTCACAGGGTAATACTGACTTGGGTGCTACCAGACTTACCTAGCACTGGTCAGTCTCAGAAATTCTTGAAAGGGACAGTATTCAGGCTAGTAAATATTAAGATCTATTAGTTTAGTGAGGGCATTATATACTGTCCTATTAGAAAGCCATGGCAGAAAGACTGCATTCTCCAGAACTTACTTTGTCCCTTCAGCTATGAATAAACTGAATATATTGGGTTATGACTGTTTTGTTCTAAGTTCCAGCCAGGGGAAGAAGCTAGAATAAGATTGATTGCCATTGTAGGTATTGCAAAAACATTACTAATTGGTTCATTGTTTTGTCTACAACTGATGTTTAAAAGAATGCTTTCATTCACTGAAACAGTTAACATTGATATATTATTCAGAAAGAATATTAACAGCAGCAGTCCCTCTATTACAATCATGTAGAAACATGTGCCTGCAGTTGAGATGTCTTGCATTTCTGGGCCCAGTGTTAATTTTGAATTTTCCATTAAGTTTGAGACTTGAGATTATTAAAGAAAAAGGATGCTGAAAATATATTTACTTTTTATTACAGCAGGAACCTTACATCTATAGCTAAATCTTAATGGTAAAAATAAATGTAATTCAGCAACATGCTTACATAGTTTTTATTTTCAAGATAAGATATAGCTTATTATATAAAATTTATATATTGCCTTGTAATGGTAAGTGTTATAAAAAGAATAATTAAGCTCATCAGATCTAGTATGTCCTTTATCCCCATAGGACATACAAAAAAATGTCTTAAATTAACCCATTCTGTGTTTTTTGCCTTGTAAAACATTGTGCCTTATTATATTAAAAGTTTTGTTGGAATCCATTCTGTATTCTGAGAAAGTAACAGTATTTTATTCTTAATTGACAAGCATTTATTTTAAAAAACATTTAAAAATTTTATGTTGGTGTTTGCCTGGTTACTTGTTATGTCATTGCCTATTTGTTTATTGAATTTATTCAACACAAGAATACTTGCATTAAGCATGTGTTAGCAGTTACTCTGTATGCTCCATGCAAGGGATAAAAGATGAATTAGACTAGACCAGGATCCTGTCTACTGGTAGAGTTCCTTCTGCTTCCAGTCTCAACAGACTTATGGATACTTGCTCTAATAATAAATTGATAAGATCACCTTGCTGTACAAGTCATTTACTTATGATTAGTCCAGAATTACAGAATCGTAACCTAGTAATATAGCACTGACTGACCAAACTGATGTTACAGCACTTAATTACCGTTCTGTAGTAGCATTATTATGATGACCTTAAACATCTGACTTTTTTCTAGATTCTACAATTTAGAAGAATATTATGAGTTCAGAGAAGCAAAGTGAGTAGAAAGGGCACAGTCAAAACAGTTAATGTTTCACATTTGCTGAAATGGAAAAAAAAAAACTCAGCACTTCTGTTGGGAAATTTTTTTGGCCAAGATAGGTCCATAAATTAGACAAGAGAAAAGTCACTGAATTTTAACTGATTTCTTTTCTTTTCTGAAGATAAAACTGTTCTCTAACCTGCTCGGTTTTGTGTCAGAACATTTTATTCTTTAACGACTTGTAGTCTGTTTTTCTGTCTCTAACAACTGAGTACCACAGTGGGTAGAATAGAGTTCATTTAGCCCATGGTTTTGGAGATTCACAGTCAAGGGGTTCCACCTGGTGAGGGTCCTCTTGCTGGTGTGGACTATGCAAAGTCCCAGGGTGTCACAGGGCACCATATGGTGAGAGGCCAAGAGCCTGTGTGCCTGTGTTTGTGTGCGCATACATCTCTGTCCTATTCCCTCTCCATAGAAACCCACAGGATTCAATTGGGGTCCCCACCCTAATGACTTTAATCCTGATCACCTCCCAGAGGCTCCATCTTTTAATCTCACAGTAGGATTGTTTGCACCTTCTTTCTTCTCTAATCGAATTCTAACACATGAATTTTGGGGTGACGTATTCAAACCATAGCATTTTTCTATCTCTGTAGGTGCCATATAGAAATCCAGAATGTTCCAGGCAATTTGTGAAGCTTGGCCATTTCCCATCTATCACACCAGTCATTTTCAACTTTACAAGCATTTTATCAGCATTCCCTAGAACATTAGAGCTAGACAAAACATTATGAGTCTGAAATCGACTCACCTGTCTGAGAATGAAAAAAGATGAAGCCCAAAGAACTTTGTCCCCAAGACTGCATAGCAGAATCTTGGCTCTAAGCTTCCAGATTCCCATTTCAATGCCCTTCCCACCGTAGAATGCTGCTTCACTTAATAACTCTGATAGGAAATGGGTAACAGTATTGCTCCTGCACTGTAACTGGTTTAGCAGCATTGAAGTGTTTCTGTCTGCACTACCTTTCCTCAGTGTGTTCAGACTTTTAGATATGTTGGGAAACTTCCCATAAGAAGAACCAGTGGGGCAGTTCTTTACTATTTACCAAGCACATTCAGGAGCCTACCTCATTTAGCCCTCATGACACACGTATTACTAGATCTAATGTAGT